AAAAGAGAATAACAGTCTGAATCTTCTATGGCGTTGGTTCAAAAACCTGGACAGGTTTTAGACAATGACTACGTGTTTGTTGATCACAAGGGAAAAGAACATTTCGTTTTACATTCGATGCTGCCTGCTGTAACAGAATATGAAGGTACTATATTATCAGAAGACTCCGGCTTGAATGAGACAAACCAAAGAAATCAGCGTGATATCCCGATACAGCTGAAGACGATACTTTTTTCAGTAGGGGAGTATGTCCGCCTTCTGTGGTCATCTAGGTTAATAACTGCGGAGGATCACCTTAGTTCTTGGTTGAAAGTTGGATTCTAATCTGAACTCACCTTTCGCACTTGACTAACGAATGGCAAAATGAATTTGCCTCAAGACGAACAAGGTGGCTGACTCAGGTGGTACCCAGCTGTGGTGAGGAAATGGGTAATGCCATATGGAGGAAGAAAGAAAAGAAAACTCGCGCAACCTTACGAGATAAAACAACGCTGATCTGAAAGAAAACCGGAATACGCCAAAATGAAAGATCGTCTTGAAGTCAAAGCGGAGTACAAATACAACTCTGTGGCTATACAAAACTATGTCATCGAAAGGTATGAGATAGATTCACGGCAAATCAATACAATCTTTGCCCAAAAGGACTGTAGATTAAGAAAGGTCACAGAAACAGTCTATATCCAAGTCAACAGATATTTAAACAGGGGAAATGACAAGGAACTGAGGAATGTCTGAAGATATAGTATTAATAGAAATCGGTGAGCATAAATCTCTACTCAGCTGCTTGAGTTTTATCAAATCTGTTTTCATCATATGTTTCATCGTGCAATGCAGCATAGGGCGTGCCTGATGAGGGACGATGTGGCAGATGTTTAAAACTTTAGCTGGGAATAAATACATTTGTCGATAAATAATCAAGAGTATTCATGTGGCAGCTGTATCGGAACTCGTTCATTTGGTTCATCGGTAGATTTCGTATTTACTACATTCAGTTCATATTTTGAGTCTTGTTTCTTATCACTCCTCATTATAGTGATGAGTATCGAAGTAAACTTTCAAACACAAAAGGACAAACCACTGATTCACTGCTGGTTAAGCAGGTTGAGGAAGCGCCACCGCCTGATCCACCCAAATCAATGAGAAAAGTTTACGGTCTGCATTCCGAGGCGCGACAAGGCCATTCTCCCAATACACTTCAGCACCTTCGATCGGATGGCCACTTCGCTGTTTGCCACGTGGCATTGAGCAAAAGCTATCCTACCGATGGTTTCTCCTGGTATCCTGAGAAGCGCAAAGAATGAGGAGAAAAATGATTGTCATCCACTTAAAGTTATTAATGATTTTTATTCCAGTCACCCTGGTAGTTGCAGCAAGCCTGACTTGCCTTTCAACGCATTGGATGTTTGGACAACCAGAGGTGTATGAATATCGGAGAAACGTCTGCATGGACATATGAAAGATGCAATAAAGAATGGGCAAAATACGGAAGGTCTGAAGATCATACTGGTCACTCAGCCACGTGAGGAGTTGTGCGGGTCTGTTTCCAACATTTCAGCCTTTTCCTCATTGCAGTTGAGCAGACGATGATAAAGACCAAGGATATACGACAAAACTCAGCTCTGCATTGGACATCTTGAAGCAATTCTTCATCGGCACCGTTTTGAAGCTGCATGAGGCAAAAGCCTTACGCAAACTGACATATGCTCAATAATCTGAGGAACTGAAAATATGTTCATAGATTTTTAAGGACAACAAAGAAGTTTTGTAACGGCCAAATACTCAACTCTCCAACCTGTAAACCACGTAAAGAATGATATTAACACGAAGTAATTGTCATAAAAAACGTACTGGTGGCATGAAGCACACAAACGGAGGCGGCTCTGATAACGTGAGAAAGCCACTTGCCATAAATAGCACTAATTTCATTAGCATCATACAGTAACTGAAAAGTATGGACAATATATGGTTAGCCAGCGTACCTTGCAATAACAAGTTATTATTCTGACGAAACCTGTCTGGTTCGTTTCCATTTATTTCTGTTTATCATTGTACGCAACTTCTTCGATCTGCCAGTCTTATAGGCTTAGATCCACTTATTTAAAATATTGTAGCTTCCTGTTCTGTTTCTAGCGGGCATAGGACGCAAATGCAGCTACGTTTTGAATGAATGGTTGCCAGGGAGGCTGCTGCATTAGTTCTCAAGAGGTCAAAAGTGACGACAAACGTCTTACTCACTCACTATCACAAGTATTATAGAACCCTTAATAGAATTGTAGGCGAAAAAAACTGTTAAAGATAACTGGCGTCATTTTACTGACTTTGAGCCATCAGCAAAGAACGGAATATAGCCATAACATGAACGTTTTGGAGGTCATTCTCCTTTGGCGCTAATATATGCAGAACTCGTAATCGAAAGAACACCGTTTCAATCCCTGCCAGATGACTCACATTTTATTATTTTGAGGTAAAAACAGCACTACTAGATGAACGAGAACCCAAAAGCAATGAACTATAGGACCTGCAGAAGAGGCAGTTTCAAAAAATAACACAGCGGCAACGTGGTTAACAGGCACACCCCAAAACTCCACGAAAGAACGCGTTGGAGATGGTACGAATCGTGAAAATCAACGGAAGATAGATATTCCAATGGAAATCAACTTTTGTTATTCAGGCTACAATCGGAAGGTTGACAGATAGTTTAGAAAACGCATATGGCCGCATAAGTTCTAGGAGACATGTCGGTGAGGGAAATTTAGTAACTAGGAAAGAGACTCTGTTATATCACTCTGTCAGCGATGTCCCAAGTGGTTGACGAGGTTTATACTGGACCCAATAACCACCTGCAGTCAAAGTTGTTTTGTACTCGATGGCAGTACGCCATGAAATGAGCCTGATTCCGATTCACATATCTGCTTAGATAAATTACTAAAGTAACAAATTTCAGGACATTTCTAGGTCAGTGTTCGCCTCTATTTATAGTTAAGGTTTCTCTCGGTGACTTGGACTGGCTGTGGTCAAAGACAAGAGATGAAATTGCGTGGTTAAACTTAACGTTTTGTATGTTGCGGAAAGGCCAAAAAAGTACTTACTTCGTCGAAAGCCTCGTTGTAGTAGAAGTACTGCGAAATGACGTACAGCGAATTGACGGTATTGAATAAATCTGGCGAGATACCGCACACTGGCTGTAATTTCTGGCCCACATCGTTCGCCGTTCGATCCGTGTTTATGGTTGATCGTTGGTTTTCGTGGCCACGGCTCAGAGAGTGACACCAGTCGTTCAACAGCAGCGATCTGTCGATCACCGGACCAGGACAACTTCTGGTTAAGGGCGGTGAGGTCTGCTGCCTGAAACGGCGGAATGTCGACGAATAAGGCGTCATCAGCAGAAATTTCGGCAGCTGTCGCAGAAACAACGTGCGGATGAATCCAGGCATACGATGCATCGTCTGACGACGGAAAAACACATTGGTCACCACGATGGTCATCATGATGGCTCCAATGTTCATTGCGAAGGTCAACAGCAAGTACTTGGCAATCAACGGAATGGCGTCCGAGTTGGACGGCATGATCTTGGACACCAGCAGCAGCAACACCACCAGAGCCAACAGCAGGTTTACGGTTAAGGTCATCTTTTCCGATACGGCTGCCGGCAGGTAGAACACCATGACGGTCATGTATGCCATGAGTATGGTCGGTACGATGAGCATGACCGTGTAAAACAATGGCTTGCGCCGAATGAACAAGAAGAAGATCAGCTTCGAGTCAGAGTCCGACAGAGCACCTGGTGCGTCAGTGATGTCCCAAATGCTGCTGGGCGAATAGACCTCTAACTCGACGAATTTTTTGCCACTGCGCCAGCTCAGCTTCAGCTCCTCCTTCGAGTACGTCCACGACCTGAAAACCATCTGGCATGTCTGCTCGTCGAATGGGAAGTACTGAACGTTCATCGTACAGGTGCTCTTGTATATCGCTGGCGGCACCCACAACACGTCACCGTTTGACTCCACCCTGACGTTCGAGTAAAACGAGACCTCGTAATTACCATCGGCACTGAAAATGCCCACGTCGGTCCCCGTCAATCATCGCGCAAACATTTTCAACGCCTTACTTGTTACACAACACGATATCTGGCAGCCATACCATCGAGCTCGGAACGATAAGCAACTGAATATTGTCGTACTGTACCGGATTCCATCTCAGATGATAATCGGTCCATTTCTTAACACACAAATTGATATGTGACACGAACCGCATAGAAAGTTTCAAATTATGTAATCCAAGTACAAAATACGCTAGCAGCATGCAGATCTAAGATTCGGTCACAAGGAGTTAATTCCGCCCCTTTTTCTGACTTACGAAAGTTTACGATGCTCCCTACTATTCTTTGTCGTTAGACGTTCACTTAGCTCTAGTCGTAAGCATGTGTTTGTTCTTTGATGTTCACACTCGTGCTAATTTAGCCAAATATGCTCAAATGTTTCTGCCGTTTCTTTGACCGTGTTCTCTGTAGAGTACTCTTTTGTTTTTTTGAGTTCACAGTACTGCCACTTTAGCCTCACAGCGACAGTCCGTATCACTTATTAAATCAGTATAATTTGCCTCTGTTTCTGCTTTGCTTACGTTATGTAAGTTTTGGTAGGTATATGTGAATCTGTGGATTTCATAATGTCCAGCTCGTATCATGATGCGATTTCTTTCATACAGTGTGATCATGTTTGTGATCACCATTCGAAGCACGTTCATCATGACAGACGAACTTGCTGCAGATGTCCGGTTTATGATAATCAGGTTTCTGGTAGAAAAATTTGAGTCATATTGTGACCGCAAATCGCCCATCATACAGGTGTCATAAACGGTATGCGGAACACTGGATCTCTCACCACCAAGAATAAAAGAACAACTTTACATACTTTGCTAAACTTTAGTTATATGATAATATGATAGGACAGCGTTTATCAAATAATGAATGAATCAGATTCAATGATTGCTGTGCGGAGTAATCATTCCGTATTGCAATATTAGATTATTTGTCAGTTGTCATTTGCTAATATCATAACTCAGTTAGCCAATGCATAATTCTTCGGCCTGATTTCACGGCGTACTGGCATCAGCTTTGTCCTTGTTTACACTGAGCTCATTTGAGTAGGCCACTTCGCCATGGTATTTGAGAACGTGCAATGCAGGATGCACCCTCACATCAGTTTGTACGCGCTCGTTATGAAATATGTTTCAGGAGTTGCTGCTGATTATAGCATTAAAATATTTTCTTATGCCAGAAAACGCACATCTTCAAGACAAGGTTCTCTCCTAGGACAACTTAAACATTACCTGACACTCCAGCGCATGAACATATTTTGAAGATCATTACATCAGTAACCATTTTTAAGGTTTAACGGCAATAACGGCGTTTATCTACAGTATATGTCTTTAATAGTTTTTACCATAATTATACCGTAGGATCAGTCCGCCACTTCAAGGACAATACCGGTGATTGCTATAATTCCCCCTCTAAAGAGGTTACTAAGTGTGACCAGGCTGAGGGTAGTAGAGAAAGCAGATTATGGAAGAAATAAGAGCATGCCTGTTTAACCTATACCATGTAGAGCGGACACTTCATCGGCACTTATCGATCGATCAACCCTGAACTGAGGGTCAACGTCCTCAGTGGGCAAAATAATTTGGGACCAGGAAATCTGTCACCTCATCATTAATCATCACAAAAAGATGGTCCCGAATATGATGTTGGAGCTTTCGAACCGTGAATGGAGACGAAAAGCTGGTGACGTCGTATGGACAAACCGATGTGAAAAATGGGTGGGCCCTGTAGTAGTCCGGGAACAATAAAACCCCTGTTGCCACAGTCGCTATCGTGCCTACATAGGCGAAGAGTTCTCTGACCTCAGTTAATGAGTTATAAGCTACTTTGGAAACACGCTAAGTTTGCTGCTATATCTTCGTCATCAAAGGCCTAGCAAAGCACAGACAACAGACTTACCTAGATTTATGATATCTGACCTATAAAAGTGGTATCTCAGTTTGATATTAGGCAACGTTCATTGCTGGGAGCAAGGGATGGATTCCTCATCATCAGCCGGTGTGCCTCATCGAGGTATTTTCATATTTTGAGACGCTAGGCATGGCACTGTTGTCCCTTATGCACCGATGAATATGTCAAGCAAGAATGACGACAACTGCATTTTCCTTTCGTTCACTTTTGAATGTGTAGTACTCCGCCTTCAACCTCTAGAGGAAGGAATGAAAGTGATGGGTATGGGGTTCAAAGCAGGGATATTATGTTTCTGAGTTTGAAACGCGCCACTGACAGAGAAACCGCGATTATCAACGGGAGAAAAAGCAACGACATTGATAGTTGCAGTCCATAACAACAACATTATGTCGATTTGTACGAGAGCAGAAATGCATAGCTCAATAGGGACATAACGCGAACAAGATCCACAAGTTACTGAGAACGAATGTGATAGAAAATCGGCAGCTGTAGGCTGCAGTTCAAGAAGTGCGCAAAACACAAAACCTGAGGTTCTGAAATATGACCATAAGAAATGAGAAATAATCCATATTTGTTTAGTCAAGCAAATGCAGTAAAAATGAGGCATGCGCGCAACCAGCGTGAGCTGTTACAGCAGTTGTTGAGACATTTGAATAAGCAAAACGTCCGTGGTTTGCGATTTCACTTGTATCTATAACTTTTCAGCATTTTTACTGTGAGGCATCGGTTATTGCATTGCAGAAAAAAAATATTTTTCCGAAGGAAGATCCGTCACTGCCTTGTTCTTCCATGTTGCGTGATGGCCCCATGGTAGACATCTGTTGTGTTCCTGTATCGACACGAGCTGGAGTAAACTATGTACGCTCAACTAAAATGTCTAGCAGGGTTAACCTTCTTTTCCAACCTCCACAGCTGGCGAGGTCTTCTGTGTCCGGAAAATATTAGAATCTTTGCTTTTCATGGTTTGCCATTTAACCTCACAATGCATCGAAACGAACGCTGCCATATTACCAAGGTCCAGGCGGATTTTTATGGAAAGATTAGCATCTTTCTCCCAGATATTGGACAGACTTACAAAAGCACTCGAAGCTAAGGAGATCTTCCTATTTAACTCTGGCTGAGTAGTGCCCTCACTGAGGATTATGGAGCCGAAATATGTGAAGTGTTCGACCTCCACAAGGGCACTTGTAGGTCAGTCGTGCCGGATGGGTTTTTGGTGATGCCTGATGTCAAGGTGTTAAAGAAGAGGCTGATCTTCCCAAATGTGCTGCATATGAAAGCCGCCAGGTAACAGAGCCCGCTTACCGTACTACTCACTAGGCCAATATCATTCGCCTGCTCCATGTTAGCAAGGCATCTAACCGAATATCTTGAACTACGCATTTTATATAGAATGATACTTTATTTCATAGTCAGCACTGTTCTGAGAAAAGTGGTTGAGAACAATGCTGAATGGCACCGGTGAGAGCACATCTTTCTGGCGAACTTCACAGTTAATGGAGAACGATTAGGTAATTTCATTTCAACTTTGATGACAGAACATGGTTCCGCCGTACTCTTTGACAAAATAGAAACGATATGCTCAGGTAACCTATCAAGTTTCAAGCCTTTCCGCATCGTAGAGCAATCTAATGAATCAAATGCAATTTTATAGTTGAAAAAATGGAATCATCGGCATTTCCCAACGATCATGTGCAGAGTGAAAACATGGTGGGGGGTTGGACCACCCATTCGGAGGCCTGCTTCATTTTGACTTGTTTCCTTTCAATTGGATATAGCAGTAAGAAAATATTAAATTAGTCTACCATCAAGGTTACAAGTTGGCGGTGGCATAAGTACCTAAAATGGTTCTGTCAGTATAGCACATCATCACACATTGTTTGAGCAATAGATCTGGGGCCGCTTCTTGTAGAAGAAGCAAAATGCAACGGGCGAATGTATAAATATCAGGTTTTTCAGTAAAATACGGTAGCGCTGATTCATGGACTGAAAAAGGTGATCGCCATCGCCAAGAATGGAAAAGTGCAACAAATGTAAAGGAAGCAGGTGTGCAAATGCAAACGATTCGTCTTTTCTTTCCCTTAGTTTTGGATGAGCTTGTTCATTCACATGCTGCGCTTAAATAGGGTAAAAATGCAGAGAGCAAAACTGTTTCATTGTTCAGCAGAGAATTTCACTCCTCGCAATCGTCAGCACACCATCAGAGTTGCGAACAACACGGTTTGACAACAAAGCAAAAGCGTTTACTTGAGTCAGTAGGCGGAGTACGATTTGAAAACCACGTCCGACACTATTATTTGTTATCCTCTGAGCTTTAGGTAAGTCACAAACGGGAAGACAACGCATAAAATAGTCTTTAATTAGGGACATCTGACGCTTCGGACCAAGGTCGGTCCGTCTTGTACTCTGAAAACGGATCGAGCTTGGTCCGAAACGTCAGATGTCCCTAATTAAAGACTATTTTATGCGTTGTCTACCAGTTTGTGACTTACGTAAAGGTTCTATCACCTTCCGCATTAAGGAATCATTACGATTTTCAATATCCTCTGAGCTTATTATTTAAAGAGTCTGAAAACTGCTTTGAATCGTCGCCCAGGTAAGACTGGCACCAGCACCCCAGTTTGTCTGAAATTAAAGGGTGCGGAATATTCATCGCAATCTGCTAGTATTTGCAAACGTCTGTCGACCATCAGTGGAACGGCACAGCAGTTTTCACCGGCGACGTAAACGCTCGGGTTCGCAACGGCTACAGTTGCTGGTCACAACTGCTGGAAAACATGGACCAGGGCCACGGAGGACAACGGATTACGAGTAATTGGCTTTTTGCCGATGATGGTGATGATGGTGATTATGATGACTATGACGACGACGACGATGATGATGATGATGATGATGATGATGATGATGATGGTCTCTTTGATGCAGGTTCGTTATTTCTAAACAAACGGATCTACCAGAACTTTACCAGAGCTTCAAGTTCATCAGCCTGAAATGGCGTAATGCGCTCGATGATCAGCTGATCGGGTTCTATCATTACTTGAGTATCACTGACCTGCTGTCGTAGATAACACTGACCAGGAGACGTATAATGTCAGAGCACGGTGATGCTATTCACGCGGAAAAGCTGAAATCAGCGACAGTAAGGGCTTCGTTCCAGGAACTATCCCGAAATTTTATCCATCATTATAAAACAGACAACCGTCAGCAGGCAATCGATGACAGATACAACGAGCTCCGCGAATTTTTCATAAACGCAACCAAACGAGCCACTAGGCTCAGAGTAAAGTGGAAAGAGAAGAAGTGTCCGTTGTCCGTGAAGAAGTGAGTGTCCGAAGGAACCGTGACCCGGCGGACACAGAAACACAGCCAAAGCCTTTATGTAACCGGTAATTCGAAGACAGCCCTGAGCTCTGACGTCTTGTCAAGGCGATGGATATGAACTACAAACGACACAAGCAGGGTTGGTTAGATTGAATATCCGGCAAATTAGAATTTTCAGATGACAGTGGTAAATGGCGTCGTGTTACCCGACAGGGTAGGAACTATCTGGACGAGCACTGCCTCACATTGGCGACCTACAGTATAATCTGCTTCCTATAATGATCGAACGAACATTTGGCAAGACTGTTGAATTGGAGCGTCAGTACCTCCCTGATGAGCGAACGAACATGGAGAAGTACCTGGAGCCGCTGGAGACATGCTCTGAGCCCGCTTCTCGGATAAAATAAGTAGAGTCAGACGCTAAAACATCCTGCCGTACTGGTGGCGAGTCGAGCTCATAAGATTCAGCGCTCAAGTTCCAGAAACTCTTCCGGTGCATGTGTACAAAGAAGAAATTCCCCAACGACTGGAACGACACAGTCATAATCCGGATTCGTAAGGGAGTCAACATAACATTTGATGCTCGAACTGTTGTGCAATAACCCTGTTATCAACATCGTGAAAGGTAGTACTGTCGATGGTGACCTTGGAAAAGTTACAGCTGAATGCTAAAAGCAACCTCCGAGTAAATAAACTACGCAGTATTTTGGACGAAACTTTCGAGCATCGACCATATGTTCGGTCTAAACAAGCCGTTGAATGCAATTCTTTCGGTACGCTACCTAAATTGATTTTCTTGCCACCTTTGATTCCACTCTCCGCCAAACAGTGTGCCGAATCGTTCGCTACTTTACGATTCCAATAGCAGATTGCTGCCATTTTGGACAGCGTGCACGCTGGGACCATCAGCGCTGTGAAAGTTGAAGGACGGACTTAGGATTGGTTCGATATCAAAACTGGGGTGACGTTTTTCCTCTGCTCTTTCAAGGTTGCGTTGATCACATCATACGAAACAGTGATTAACGTCACTGTGATGGGGGCCTCCTGCTAAAGCGAAGTACCTGAGTGACTTGGACAATGCCGATGATATCGCCATAATGAGCGATAGCGATGACGACAACCGCTCCCTCAGTGAAGCTGTATGCAAAATTGCAGCGTGTTCCGGTTCCGCTCTACGGTTTGGAAACATTTGCACTTAGAAGAGCACAGAAACCGACCGGAAAACTTACAACAGCGAAAGTTCTACCGGCTGGTGAAGTGGCTCGACCTCTTGAGAACCACTTGAGGCA